CACACACGCACTCTCACACACACACACACACACACGTACTCACATTGATTCTGCTGTCAAATGTACATCACAAAATCATGCCCGACTCGCATATTGCCACCAAATCCAAAGAGAAAAATCTGAAATTATTTGACATTAAAAAAATCAACCCTACTTTTTTGTGCTATGATTATATTTATATTTTATATTATATTATATGATTATTTTCATGGCATTTAAACACATTTTTCCTTAAATTCTCATCAGTGTAATGTGGATGAATCTGTGTCATGAGTTAGTGTTAGAAATATGAGCAGTATTTTATGCGGTGTGTGTGTGTGTGAGAGAGAGTGTGTGTGTGTGTGTGTGTGAGTGAGAGAGAGAGAGAGAGAGTGTATGTGAAAGTGTGTGTAGGGATGGGTATCGTTAAGGTTTTAACGGTATTACTACTCTTACCGATACTGCTTATCGATTCGGTACTTTAACGGTATTCTTATCGGTACTTTTTGTTTTATATATATATATATGACAAATTAAGGGCTGAATTAACATTGATTTATATTCTGCAATGTAAAATAAATATTTAATGAAATGAATATAAAACATCAATTTGTAAATGCACCAGTGTGCAGGCATTTTTTGTGTTCTTCTATGAAGTTCTACTAACATTACTGTTCAGGTAATAGCCTACAAAAGAAATCTAAAAGTAATCAAATGTAAATGAACACTGCATAGGTTTCAGTGTATGTATTGATAGATTAATGCTTATTAAAGCTATAACGTTACTCAGATTAAGAGCAGATTTGCATGTTGATGGCCCAAGTGCCAGTCTGTCACTTTAAGACAATATATCGACACACATCGGATTTTCTCCCAACTGTTCTCCTCCACTTAAGACATAAACTGTGTTTAAGTAAATACTCTCCAAGCCAGCCATTTTGACAGAGTGTGTGTAGGTGCGGTTGTTGTCCTCTTTCCTGCAATAAAGGAGTTTTGCTCGTCTGACGCAAGCTTCCTCTGGTTTCTCAATGAAATCACTGAGTGTGCTTTAAAGGGGTCCTATTATGCTTTTTTTTTTTTTACTTTTTCAACTTTAGTTAGTCTGTAATGTTGCTGTTTGCGCATAAAAAAGATCTGCGAAGTTACAAAGCTCAAAGTCCACTTCAAAAGGAGATATTTTATTTAACA